ATCAAAGTATTTTACTATGCAACACACCTGCACAGTTGATTGAGTTACATTTCTACTTGAGATTACTGCCCAAAAGAGAATTCTCTTGCTGTAAGTGTCTTTTCAGATGTTTGTCACTATTTTAATAATAGTTTCAAATGTACCAAGGAATGCCATAATGAGCTTGTTCATAAATAAGTAGTCTTAAACCACTGCCAATTATCAAAAAACCCCATAAATTTTACAGGTGAAACATTCAAAATTAATAAATAATTTTTTTAAAAGGAAAAAGTCTTTTTAAAGCTAGGACAGTGACAATCTGGAAACAGAAATTAGGAAATAGTGTTTGACAAAATTCTTACTGATTTGAAAGACTGTGCGTGGCTGTGTGTGGCTGTGTGCACATGCATAGTGTATAAATAACAGACAGCACTGTAACCTGATTACAGTGTACTGATATGTTAAAAACGGAACTGACTGACAATTATAAGACAATCTGCATGCATTTCTTAGTGTTCATACCAGAAAAAGGAAACCATCACCCACGTTTAAAAGACTGGTAACATTTTGACACTTCCTGACTATCTCTATAACTCATTCAGGCCTAACAAAACCTGGCTAAAATTAGGGAGATAAATACTTTTCTAGAAAAAAATATAACTCAAGTACCTCATACATCTATATATAGTGAGAAAAGACTGTTAAAATATCCCATATAAATTTTCAGTAATTGAAATTAAATCAAATCGTCTTTGAAAATGAACAATTGTACCATCTTGATAGGGTCTAATTATCCTTCTAAATTCACTTTGTAGTATTCTAAAGTCACTTTGTAGTATGATACAGTATAAGAATTGTCTGATTTATAGTGCAGAGAGTCCAGCTTGAAAATTGGAAACTAATGTGAATGAAAGAGATGACAGAATTATCTCTTGCTTGGTCTCCTGCAGGGCTTACAGAAGTCACACAGAAGTGCTGAGTCTGGTAATGAAACTACATTTATTACATGGCTTAAATAAGTCACTTGCATATATATAAGTATATATAATTATGAGACTGTTACATTCAGAATGTGAGCCTGTCTTAGAAAATTGTGACACTGATGCACGCAGACACTAAAGGTTGATTACACTGTCCTGAACCTGGTGTTTTGTACCAAGCAGCATATGTGTAACAAGCTGGAAAACTTGATTTTCATTCACCATTATCAGGCAGGATCATCAAAACTTCTATATCAGATATTATTACACATTTTTTCCAGCCTTCTTTTATTAATGAACTAAAAAAAAAAAAAAATCAAACAAGCTCTCTTTTTTAAAGTCAACAATTTTAACATGCACTCACAGAATCCTCTTAAAATTAAACCCCAGTGATGAAGGATGGAAGGAATATGAAGAGTTTATGCTTCTAATCCGTCTAAATTCAGACTCACAAAACTGTGGCCAATACTGTGAACCTGAGCTGAACCTACTGGGTTTTATGATTGGGGATCATAAAAATGACCGAGATGTCTTGATTTGCAGTGTCCTTATTGTTAAGAGCATAGTTACTTGTAAGAGCACACAAAACACCATCCTCAGTATCAGTCACTGGTCAGTATGCACCAAAACCAGTGTGTCATTAACCTTCTCTCTCTGAAAATGAAACTGCAACCTTATTACCAAGTACTAAATTGCACTGGAGGGAGCAGGAGCTCCTGGGGTGGCTTGAGTCTGAAGATTCACCGTTGGCAGTAGCTTTCCC